TTGAATGGGAAAGTAAAAGTTTACGTTTACTAAGTGCTATCTAGGTACATGGAAAATCCTAGATCTCACCAAACTTTACCTGACTGTTTTTGATGGTACTCTAGTTTCAAGTTAAATATATGGAATATAAACCCTGAAAGAAGACTATGAGTCCTTAATTTTTTAATACCATCTTTTTCAGCAGTTCTCAACATCCTTTGTTTTGCTTTAAACTGTTATTTAAGCACACCCTCCCTTTTGGAGGAGGGGAAGACAGGGACCCAGACTTGCTTTTAACTCACCAGGTAGCCCAACCTGGGCTCTAACTAGTACTCCTCTGGCCTCAGCCTCTCGCATCCTGGAGTTATAGGTGTGAACTACCAGCCTCAGCTTCTCAACAAATTATAACACAGTGTCTCAAAATCACACGTAAAAACCATTATCTTTCTAATAATGGTTAAAGTACCAACATCTGCAAATACTGCTGCAAGATTTCAGAGTTTGCTCCATCAGTTTGGTCATTTGTTTGGTTTTTTGGTACCAGGAATTGAACTCAGAACCTCACACTTGCCTGGCAGGTGCTGACACTCTACTAAGCTAAACCAATTACCAGTCCTCTCCACCATCTTGTGCCCCTGACCTTACTTTCTTGGGGATATCAACAGAGAAAGCAGTTCTATCTTACATCAGTGGAAAAAAGTACTCATTTGATCCTATCAACACATGTAAGGGCTCATCTAAATTTAATACATACTGACATGTACAAGGTAATTATTTCACAGATCAAATGAATCAAACAGCCAATTTTTTTTTTTCTTTTTTTGGGGTGGAACTGGGGATTGAACTCAGGCCCTTGCGCTTGCCAGGGAAGCGCTTATTCCACTGAGCCATCTCCCTGGCCCAAAGTTGTTTAGGTTTTTGGGGTTTTTTTGGCACTGGGGATTGAACTCAGGACCTTAGTGCTTATTCTACTGAGCTATCTCCCCAGCCCCAAACAGGCAGTTTTTACCATGGATAAACTGCCAAAAACTACTCAAAAAAATCCAGCAAATTTTAAGCATATTTTTATTTCTTTTGTCTTTTGTCTTATGCATCTTTTTTTTGGCAATTATTAATTTAATAGGTAATTAAGTGAACAAAATTATGCATCTTTTTAAAATAAGGTCATAAGGTTTTAAAATCTACACAATGATTCTTCAAATGCACTTGTAATACATAAATTCTTAAAGGACCTAAAAGAAAAAACGTCTCAACTACAAATAAATCACAATGTTGGAATTTTATAAAAAGGGGTTATGGGGGCCAGGGAGATGGCTCAGTGGAATAAGTGCTTCCCTGGCAAGCACAAGGGTCTGAGTTCAATCCCCAGTTCCGCAAAAAAAAAAAGGGGGGGGGTTATGAGTATACAGGCACTTGTCCTATATTCCTTAGTTTTAAATGTCGGAACAAAGCTGGGTGTGGTGGCTTTGTTCACCTATAAAACCACCACTTGAGGGTCAGGGAGATGGCTTAGTGGAATTAGCGCTTCCCTGGCAAGCGCAAGGCCCTGAGCTCAATCCCCGGTTCCGCAAAAAAAAAAAAAATTAGAGGCCTGGTTTACCAGAGATCAACCACAGCATGGCAGGTAGCCTTATGTTAAAAAGCAAGTTTATTATGCTTACCAATCTAAGGCAGTACTAGAGAATGAACCTATCACCTTCACACTGAGCTACATCCTAAGCCCTGTTTTATTCTGAAGCATGGTCTCACTTCATTGCCAGGTGAGGCTCAAATTTACAATCCTCTCCCCTCAACACTGCCCAGTGCTAAGCTTACACCCATGCACCACCATGCTCAAGGTTTTTGTTTGTTTTGTGGTGGGGGGGAAAGATAGCTCCGTAGGATAAGTGCTTGCCTGGCAAGCACATGGTCCTGAGTTCAATCCTCGGAACCACAAAATAAATAAATAAATAAACAAACAAACAAACACCTTATGCTGGGGGCCTGCCGGTTAGCTCAGTTGTTTAAGTGCCTGCTCGTGCAAACGCAGTCAGGAGCAGGATATCATGGTTCGATCCCCAGACCCGCCCTTAAGGCAGCTTGAGCCAAATCAAAAAAAAGAATTTTTTCAACTTTGCTAAATAACTCAGCAGATTAAAGTGCCCACAAGCGAGCCCAGGAGCCCAAGGTTAAATCACTGGGCCTGCCATGCAGGCCCCACCGGTAGGGCCAGCTGAGGCAGCAACTGAGACTGGGTGTGGTAGCGTGCCTGCAACCCAGCTCTTGGGAGGCTGTAAACAGGCAGATCACTGTGAGTCCATCTAGTAGCAAGACCCTGTAGACCCTTCCCTTAAAAGAAAAAAAAAAAAAAAAAAGACCTTATGCTTGCCAGGCAGGCACTTAAGCCAAGGAGCTATCTCCCCAGCCTGCATTCAGTTTTGGATTTTAACACTTAACAAATGAAACAAAGTATCACAGAGTCAAGAGATCTCTGCCCATAGTGTTTTGTTTTTATTTATTTTGGTACCAGGAATCAAACTCAAGACCTTGCACTAGCCAAGCTGGTGCTATGCTGTTGGGCTATATCCCAGCCCATGACCACAGTGTTTTAAGATACCTCTATAAGAGCATCCTAACTCTGCTGCCCAGGCAGGCAGGATGACACAAGGAATTGAACCCAGAGCCTCAAGTATATGATCCTAAATTTTATTTATTTTTATTTTTATTTTTTCTTTTCCAGAACCAGGGATTGAACTCAGGCCCTTGTGCTTGCCAGGGAAGCGCTTATTCCACTGAGGCATCTCCCCAGCCCCGATGATCCTAAATTTTATTTTACTTATTTATTTATTTACTTATTTTTTTGGTGGAACCGGAAAATGAACTCAGACCCTTGCACTTGCCAGGGAAGTGCTTTTTCCACTGAGCCATCTCCCCGGCCAATCCTAAATTTTATAAAGCATGAAAAATCTTCCTTTTACTGACCTGTTAACACCACAAAAATTTGGGCCGGGGAGATGGCTCAGTAGAGTAAGTGCTTCCCCGGCAAGTGCAAGGATCTGAGTTCAATCCCCAGTTCCTCCAAAAAAAAAAACAAAACCCCAACAACATTTACTTCTTTCTTCCATAAGGTCTCAAATAACTATTTGGAAAGTAAAAAATAAAAGTCTCCTTTACCTTTTTGATAGTAGTTACTTGTCCAAGATAACCAGCAGTCCCACTCTCAATGAGGGGAACATCAGCTGCCAGACACATCCGATTGACATGGTTTCGGGCAGCTGAAAGAAAATTACCAGTTAACAAGATTTTTAAAGCATAAATCATAAATCAGATTATCTTTAATTAAAACGAGATTTCTTGCTCTGTTTTTTTCTGAAGCAGGGTCTCACTATAAGTTCAGGCTGGCCTCTTAACTCAATGATCCTTTTGTCTCATCCTCCCAAGTGCTGGGATTTCCAGGCATATGCTGCTTTATCCAACCAAGTACAGACTACTGTAAGAGACACTGGACCCAATTTCAAGCATAAGAAATTTATTTCATGAAAACCACTCCTAAAATCAAAATCTTACTGTCTCTGGTGCTGGGGATCAACCTAGAACCTCATATACATGTTAGGCCAAGTGCTCTACATCCCCAATCCTAGAATTTTTTTTCTTTTGTATTTAGGACAGGGTCTACAAGGCCTCACTGCATGGATCGGACTGGTAGTGATCCTCCTGTTTACTGCCTCCCAAGTGCTGGGATTACAGGTCCGTACCACCATACCCAGTCTCAATCCCAGTCTCAGCACACCCTGGGGGTAGGGCCCACACCACACGCCTAGGGATTGAACTCCTGGCCCCTGTGTCTGCCTAAGCAGGCACTTTAATTCGCCAAGCTATTTGGCCAGACCTCCTAGAAAATACTTTTTTTTTGCAGAACTGGGGATTGAACTCAGGTCCTCAAGCGCTTATTCTACTGAGCCATCTACCTAGGCTTGAAAATAATTTTTAAACTCCAAAATTTCAAGGTGCTAGGGCAAGGAGTGTAGTCTACTTAGCGTGTTCAAGGTTCTGATTTCAATCCCTAGCATAAAAAAACAAAGGAATCTCAACCCACTACTTCTCTTTTCTATTGCCATACCTTGGCCAAAACAATACACTTCTTATCCTGCTACTATTCTACTATAATTATCATATAATACATGAAATTGTGGGGCTGGGGAGATAGCTCAGTGGTCTAAGCACCTGACTTGCAAGTGTAAGGTCCCAGGTTCAATCCCTGGTACATGCATACTGTGCCAGCCCAAAACCCAGTATAGAAGTGCACACCTATAATCCCAGTTCTACGGAGGCTGAAACAGGAGGATTACTACAAGTCCAAGCTGTATAGGGAGATCCTGTACCAAATTAAAATGCCCGTGTACCAAATTAAAAGAAAAAAAAAAGGAAGTGAATAAAAAATTTAGAATATCAGCCTGATACTATTAAGGAAGTTTAAAAAAAAATTTTTTTAAATGAGTAAGATTAGTCATTCAGAGCCCCATGTTGTGTTACATGCCTGTACTTCCAGTACTGTCTCAAAAAATAAATAAATAAAAATAAAAACTGAGCAGTGGGGCCAAAGAGGAAAGTGATCGATGATGTAGAGTGAGTCTAAGGAGAGTCACATGGAGAGAAAACATTCTCTCAGGCTTTCACAGAAAGCACGTTGGCCATGCAATGGCCGTGACTCATCCATATGGCTGACACTGACAAAGGTTCTACAATCTAAGGTACAGGATTGCAGGATAAATCCTGAGGGGATTTCACTGACCTTATCAAACCCAAAAGCTCCAACTCTTGTTGCATAGGTCCTGCTTTACCTTGGTCTTAACCATCCAGCAGAAAAGTATAAAAACGAAGTATAAGAAGTAAAGCCATGGTGTTATGTTGAGCCATAGGGGACTCAGGTCAACAATTTCTAACACTGCCAGTCAAGCGAAGACAGAATACTATTATGGGTTACTGGACTCTTTTAGAATATTTTGCTGAATTTACACACCTATAATATTTAAATGATAGAACTTAACAAAAAAGGGGATACAGATGAATGTCCATTTTGTATCTGTGTATTCAAAGTGGTTAGGATAGATATAAGGATATACATAGTTACATTCTCTTAATGAATAAAGGGATTTGTTCTAATGGTGTTTATAAATAGGATATCAAGTCCGAATCTTGTACAGCAATTAACCACTAGGAAAAATGTATGCAATGTGTTAACTATTGAAACTGTCCTACCAATTTGGTTTGAAACTGTCTATTTCTCAATAAAATTATGGGGGGAAAAAAAACTGAGCAGAATGCAGCTCCTTTAAGCAAAGGTCCTGGATTTATTCCCCAGTAATACCCCTCCTGCCTTGAAGTCATGTAGCTTTTCAATTTTTGTTGTTTCTTTTTTTTTTTTTCCCCCTCTCTTTCTCTTTCCTTTTCGTTGTTCTGGACAAAGTCTCACCATGCAATTCAGCCTGGCCATGAATTCACTATGCAGCCGAGGCTGGCCTGGAACTCAGACTGATCTTCTTGCCTCAGCTTCCTGAGTGCTCCAGATTATAGGCACGCATCACTACATCTGAGTGGCTCATTTTGGTTTTTGGGCGGTTTTTTTTGTGTGTGTGGAATTCAGGGCTAAACTCAGGCCCTGCAGACACTTATTCTACCAAGCTATCTCCCCAGCCCCTCAGTGTTATTTTTTTTTCTTTTTTTTTTAAATTTTTTTATTTTTTTTCTTTTCAAAGTTTTATTGATAAACATATAGCAATGAGACAGTTTCAAATCAAATCGAAAGTACATTTTCAACAAATAATACACTGCATATATTCTTCTTAGTGGTTAATTGCTGTACAAGACCCTCAGTGTTATTTTTAAACTAAAATTATTACAAACCTACTTGACAGAATTTTACATGAGAAAGTAATGACAAGCAATGAATATTACTAAAGTATTTTCACTGTCACATTCCACACAAATTTTATTGTTTTAAAAATGTATTAAAAAAATAAATAAAAAATAAAAATGTATTTAGGGGCCCAGGGATATGGCTCAGTGGAATAAGCACATTCCTGGCAAGTGCAAGGGCCTGAGTTCAATCCCCGGTTCCGACAAAAAAAAAAAGTATTTAGTACAGGGTCGACAGGGTCTCACTACACAGCCTGGACTTGTAGTGCTCCTCCTGTTTTCAGCCTCCCAAGCCTTGAGATTACAGGCAGGTGCCACCACGCCTGGACCTCCAGATAAATTTCTAAGTCACAGACTATACCAGTGGTGGTGAGCCTACAGCACACACCTCAGTGGGCATGCAAAGCCCTCTCTGCCAGCACATGAGCCAAGCTGCAGTAGTTCAGTAGTCCTGAACAACTGTGAAAAAAAACACACCAAATATAAACTTCTACCTTTCAATAAACAGCTGTATATGTCACTGAAAGCCGTGTTACTATGCTTTCCTTTAATGACAAAACATGTTCATGTGTAAATTGTTTTTTTCTAAGCTAACCCTTCAGTCCGCAGGTGTGTAAGCCACGTGCCCAGTATTTAGAGCATCTTCTTTAGTCCTGGCTGAGATGTGGGCACTCCTACCAAGTCAATCTATTTACACATGTGTGATCTGAAACAAACACCTCCAAACCACCAAACACATCAGACTTTTGTCACTTTAGAACATGGCTGTCCACCTTTCTGGCTGGCCTGGGCTACACTCAGTAAAGAGGAGAACTCCTCCTTAGTTGCAAATAACATATATAATATAGTTGATGTATGTAACTAAAAAAACTTCGTTTTTCCATTTTTACTTAACAATACTTACTCATTTTAGGTAGGGCCTCATTATTTGGTTCAGACAGACTTTGAACTCATTTATTTATTTATTTATTTATTTATTTATTTATTTATTTATTTTTTGCAGAACCGGGTATTGAACTCAGACCCTTGCGCTTGCCAGGGAAGCACTTATTCCACTGAGCCATCTCCCCAGTCCCCAGACTTTGAACTCTTAAGTGATCCGCCTGTCTGTTTCCCAAGTGCTAGGGTTACAGGCATGCACTACCATACCCAGCTTAATAATGATTTTTTTTTGGTGGAACCAGGAATTGAACTCAGGCCCTTACGCTTGCCAGGGAAGCGCTTATTCCACTGAGCCATGATTTTTTGCAGCGGGTAATTTGGTTAATTTTTATTAGTTTGCAGCACATAATGACTAAAGTACACATTTACCATAGGGGTTGGTGCATTTACACAACACACCTTCAATTCTTTCCCCCCATGTGCCTATCCCTAGACTACACAGTAAACTCAAAGCTGGCCTGAACTACATGATGAGACCCTAGCTTAAAAAAAAAAAAAAAAAACCTGTCTTCAGAGGCACACATATATGAGCATCAACTGGAATACAATTAACAATTGTCGGGGCCGGAGAGATGGCTCAGTGGAATAAGTGCTTCCCTGGCAAGCGTACGCAAGGGCCTGAGTTCAATCCCCAGTTCTCCGAAAAAAAAAAAAAAAATTGTCATTGTGTGTTCACTGTCAAGTCACACAAGCATATGCAGCATCTAATACACGAGGATTCTGATGCATGATATATGACAGGCAACGGAGGAGAGTTAGCAGTGCACTCTGCACTCCCTGACACAGCATTTCACTATTCTCTATTATACAGTCCATGCTTGAGCACCCATCAATTTAGTCAAGAAAAACACTGCCAGGCAGGCACGCAACTGTAATCTGAGCACTCTGGGAGACTGAGGCAGGTTACAGATCCCATGTTTGAGCTCACCCTGGACTATAGAGCATGTGGAGGGGGTTGGGGGGAGGCAGAGGATGGGGTTGTAGCTCAGTGTGAAGACCCTGGGATCAATTCCCTAGAACAGGAAGAAAAAAAAAAAGCTAGCAATTACATAGTAATGTCAAAAGTATACAATCTTGCAGAACCACAATAAAGTCATTCAGGGCCACGTACAGTCACCTGATTTAGAACTTTTAACTTCTCCTTCATTCATACCTTCAGGGAGAAGGTCAAAGCACGGGAGCTATTTTTTTTTTAATCTGTTTTTTTTGGCAGAGCCAGGGATTGAACTCAGGCCCTTGCACTTGCCAGGGAAGCGCTTACTCCACTGAGGCATCTCCCTGGGCACCCCTCTTTTTTTTAACAAAAGGGTCTATAGGGTGTTCAGGGTCTCACTACTAGATCAGACTTGTAGTAATCCACCTGTTTACAGTCTCCCAAGAGCTGGGATTACAGGTGCACTCAACCACACCCAGTCTCAATTGTTGTCTCAGTGTACCCTGAGGGCAGGATGGGCATGGGAGGCCCAGAGATTGAGCCCCTGGTACCTGTGCCTACTCGCAGGCGCTTTAATCCACTGAGCTATTGGCTGGCCCTCCAGGGTAGTATTGAACTCAAAATGTAGCCCAGGCTGGTCTCCAACTCATGGCAGTTCTCCTGCCTCAGCGACCTGAGTGTTGGGATCAGAGGCCTGTGCAACACACCTGGCATGGTGCCTGTATTTCTGCCTAGAAAAAAATCAGTTCTAGATAAATCTTCAATCAACTGGCAAGCTTTAAACATGCTCTTATTTGCCTTTATGTCTTTCAATTTCTAACTCAAATAGTTTTACAGCAATACTAAAATTTTAAAAGTTTTGATATGAGAAAGGGGAAATGCTGAGCTTAAAGTATTGAAATAATCTTACCTCTGTTATCTAATGCATTCATAACCAATATAAACTGTCGAAAAAATTCCACATTATAGTCAGGGCTACAAAGCAAAACAAAAAGGTTACCAAATTGTCCTTATACAGGATATTCACAGTATAATGATGTGTTCTTAAAAATCACAAAAATAACTATTAGGGGTACATACACACAGTGAGGTCTGACTTTTTCCAAACAAGAGCAAATTTCAAAGAAATTATTTCTTTCTCATTTCCTCTTTGGCCAGCTATTAGGACACAAGAACAAGATCTCAAACTGGCAGAAAGATGGCATGATCTCACTAGTCCCTCCAGGCCTTCTCAGGGCAGCAAGTGCCTGGGAACACACAAAGAACACATTCCCAGGATCAATGTGGCCTACAGCTTTACCTCGCATGGTCAGGATTAGGCAGGGTTCAGGCCCCTAGGGTCTCTGCTTTTAGCAGTAATGGGAAAGTAACACAGAGTAAGAGGGTTACAGGGCCACAGGCAGGTCTGGAGAACAAACAATCAGAATAAAAAATAAGTTGGAGATAAAAATGCCCTGAGAAAGTATAAGACTTTTTCTAATTCTAGTACAGCAAATGCTAAGAACTATTTTTAATAGTGCTCCTTTTAATAGTAATGTTCTTGTAAGCTAGGGAACAACTATAGATAATGGGTAATTTAGGGACTAGTGCTAGATGGTTCTGGAGTAGAGCACTTAACTAAAACCCTAGGTTTAATCTCTGTCACTAGGGGAGAAAATGCACAATTCTTTTGTTTCAACACCACCGAAATCATTTATTTATTTTTACAGAGACAAGTGTACCCCAAGCAACATGGTGGAACACATCTGTAATCCAAGCACTCTGGGTTGCTATGATAGAAGGTATCATCTCAAATTCAAGGCCAGCCTGGGCAACTTAACAAGAATAATAAGTCTAAAAGTGAGAAAATGGGCTGGGAGGCAGCTTAGCATCAAGGCCCTGGGTTTAATTCTGGGGGTGGGGACTGGGGTGGTCTGTCACTACCCAAAGACAATTCCCAGTGTCAAATTACAGAAGCCAGAGTCAAAATAAATGAATCATTTTGGAAGGGAATTTTTTAAGCTAAAATCAATCAGAATAAAATATATTTGGACATTTGAATCATATACAGGAACAGTTTAAAATACCTTCTTAATGTGGAACAAGAATATAGTATTTGCTTCTGTTTCTAAGCAACTCGTTTATGAAAAACATTAAAATATCTCAGCACTTATTTAAATCATTCAAATATACATGAACTGGTTAAAAAGACTGCAACCTAACTTATGTGAACACAATCACATTGTAATTATTCTATAAAACAATCTTTTTTAAAATGCAGAATGATTTTGGGCTTATACTTTGGTTTTGTTTTTTTTTTTTTTTTTTTTTTTGGCGGAACCGGGGATTGAACTCAGGCCCTTACGCTTGTCAGAAAGTGCTTATTCCAGTAAGCCATCACCCCGGCCCCTTGGGTTTATACTTTGGCTACTAAAAATACCTTATGATTCAAAAGTTTAATTAAAATTTCACAGCAAACACAACTATTCAAAATAATAATAACATACTTCATGATGCTGTCATGATAAGCTACAATATTAGCTTTCGGGTAAAACTGCAGTACACTTTCTTTGGCAACCTGGAAAAATAAACAATAGTAAAATTAATGTAACATTTGTATGTAAAATCTACTTCTAATAGTACATAAACACATCTCACTTATTCAGTAAACATGTAAAAATACTAAAAATATACAAAAATGTAATGAAATTTCATTAAGATTAAACTACATATATATTTATAAAATAACAATACCCTCAACCCAACCACATATAACAGATGCATTGCTATATGAAAATTAAACTAAAAATAGTGAAACATACCACCATAGGTGTGTGCCTATATTCCCAACTACTCACAAGGCTGGAGCAGAAAGGGCAAAAGCTCAAGGCCAGTCCTGGCAATTTAGTAAAATCTTATTTCAAAAATAAAAAGAGGGCTGGTGAGATGGCTCAGTGGTCTAAAGCACCTACTTAGAACAAGCTAAGCTAAGCAAAGCACAGGGACCACGGTTCAATCTCCCAGCACCACATGCCAGCCAGCCCCGCCCCCTGGTGGGCTGAGCTGGCCACACACACACAAAATAAATAAATATTAAAAAAATAAATAGGGGCTGGAGAGATGGCTCAGTGGTCTAAAGCACCTACTTGAAACAAGCTTGGCAAAGCATAGGGACCTCGGTTCGATCCTCCAGCACCACAGGCCAGCCAGCCCCGCCCCCTGGTGGGCTGAGCTGGCCACACACACACACACACAATAAATAAATGTAATAAATAAAAATAAATAAATATTTAAAAAAATAAATAAATAAATAAATAAAATAAAATAAAAAGAGCCTGTTTTCCCAGTGCTTGGGAGGCTGAATATAGGAGGATCACTACAATCATTATGGAGTAAGACCCTGTAGACCCTGAACTAAAGAAAGAAAGAAAAAAAGCAAACAAGCAAGCAGGAATTGGTGGCCCAGACTCGTAATCCAGGTACTTCAAAGATTCAATATCAGGGCCAATCTGTACTACAAAGTGAGTTTAAATCAGCCTGGATTGCACAGTAAAACCATGTCTCAAAAAAAAAAAAAAAAAGGAGAGGGAGGGCTGGAGGGTGCTGGTAAGATTGTACCTGGATAGTTTAATGGTAAGCGTGTCCTGCAGACTCCCAGCACCACCAATACACAAATACCAAAATAAAAGTACGATACAAGGCACAATAGCTAGTGTCATTCATTCACTTAACAGGAGCCTGAGCAAGACAGTAATTACAAAACCAAGTAACTCTGATTGCAAACCATGAGGATCCACGTTGTTACAGAGGACCTGACTATTTCTAAAATGATAATAAGTGAAGTACTCTGGACAAAAGAGACAAAATATTTTTTAAAATGGGAGAAACAAGTGGGAGCCAGACAAAATGGCTAGTAATAGGCAAAGGGAAAGATGCTGTGAGACCCCCCACAAATCATCCAGAAGGGGTGGTACACGCCTGTAATCCTAGCATTCAGGGGGCCAAGGCAGGAGGGTCACTGAGTTCCAGGCCGGTCTGGAATATGCCAAAAACAAAGCCCAAAACATGAAGGGTGAAGCTTCTCAGAGATATTACCCTCAATGGAGTGTAGGCTCCTCCTAAGTAAACCATCACCGTTTTAAAAACAAAAGCCACACAACAATCACCACAATTACAGACTCAGGTAAATGACTTCTATTTTTTTGTAAGCCAAAAATGCAGAGCTCTGTCCTTCAGTCCTTTAATGTATCCTTTACTCTTTAACAATCTTTCATCTGAGTTTGCACCCCTTTTTTCTCACAGAAGAGGCAAAATTTATTTTGCTATCCAACTAAAACATACATCAAGGGATTATAGTAACAGTATAAGAAATACTCACTTGTGCCTTTGATCTTCCAACATGTTTCTTTTGAAATAAAAACTGTCTGTTGAGGTTGCTGACATCAATAGTATCCAGATCAATCTATAAAAGCATAAATCCCAGATAAAGTACAAAAATTCTGTTTTGTTTGAACAGCACTGTCCTCAGCATCCAGAACCTTTAACTTTTTTTTTTTTTTTCTTCTGACAGGGTTTCACCATGTAGTTCTGCTGGCCTTGAACTCACTATGTAGCCTAGGCTGGCCGCACACTAGCAGTGATCTTCTTGCCTCAATCTGCCTGAGTACTGGATTATAAGAATGTCACCATGCCCAACTGGAACTTCTGATAGTTGTATTAGCAAATAAAATATACGGATCAGTCAGACAAAATTTGTTAAACTCTGATAAAAACAATATGTGAATAGAATTAAGATAGTATCAAAGACATCTTATAAAAAATACATTTAAGCAGGCGCAGGGGTTCAATCCTTGGGGCATGCTGAGTCGGCAACTGAGACTGGGTGTGGTGGCATGCACACCTGTGATCCCAGCTCTTGGGAGGCTGTAAACAGGCAGACCACACAAGTCTGATCTAGTAGTGAGACCATGAACACTCTGTTGTCTTCTCTAAAATACAAAAAAAAAAAAAAAAAAAAGAAAAGAAAAGAAATTTAAAGGGCCAGAGAGATAGCGCAGAGGTCTGCAAGGCAAGTGCAGGACTCAGGTTTGATCCCTGATACCACATGCCCTGCTGGGCCAGCACAAGGTGGCCACCCAAACTGGGAGTGGTGGCACATCCCAGCACCTGCAAGGATGAGACAGGATGATCATCATTAATTCCAGGAAAACCTGCACTACACAGAGTTTAAGGTCAGTGTCAACTACATAGTGTGAGCCTATCTCAAAAATAAAAGCTCTTTTTTAAAAAAGGGGGTGGGGGTGGGAGATAATTAGATGGAATAAGCATCTGCTTAGGCAAACAGCAGGGACTGTGGTTCCTCACCAGTGCCGGCCTGCCCCAGGGGCACGTTTGGAACTATTATTTCTCCTGGTGGCATGTTGAGCAGGGCACCAACACCAGGTGTAGTGGCACACACCTGTAATCCCAGCACTGGGGAGACTAAAAACAGGAGGATCATTATGAGTCTGAGCTGTGCACTGAGACCCTGTACAAAATGCATTTAAAAAAAAACTTTTAATCACACCTGTAATCCCAGCTTCTAAGGCTGAAGCAGAACTACTCCAAATTCTAGACTAGCCTGGGGAGTTCAGTGACACTGTCTCAAAATAAAATATGGAAGGGGCCAGTAGCCCCACATAAAGGCACATACCTGTGAACCCAGCACTCAGGATGCCAAACCAGCCTAAACTACAGTGCTGAGGGCAGGGAGTGGGTTTCAATCACCACTACCACAAAAATTAAATAAAATCAACAAAAATAATTTAGAAAGTATAACCCTTTATTTCTCAGGTGCTTAACCTCACTAACTCATCTATTACAAAACAGTTCTCTTAACATGTATCAGCAATTATCAGCACATTAAGACGTCTGACAGAGAATTGGACAGGACAGGACATGAAGGTTAGCCAGAAAGAATGTGTAAATGCTTTCCATCCAGTCATTCATTAGTTCAGTTTGCCACCTTTATTTTTTTCATTCCGTGTTTACAATACACACTTAGATACCAGGCGTGGTGGCACACGCCTGCACTCGGATCGGATCGTTGATAGTTCCAAGCCAGCCTTAGCTACAAAGAGCTCAAAGCCGGCCTGAATTGCATAGTGAGACCCTGTCTCAAAAAAACAAACAAAAAAGTTACTTTAAACTCACCAAATGTGCTTTAAAAAATACTTCAAACTCAAACTCACACACCTAAGTTTCAACCAACATCCTTAGACCTTTTATTTTAAAAGTGATTTAAAATTACAGTGGCTTTCTTCATGTTATGTTTAAAGACGGAGTCTCGCTATGCAGTTGAGGCTGGCCTTGGAATCTCCGCGATCGCCCTGCCTCGGCCTCCGAAATGTACAGCTATGTGCCACCACGCCCGGCGCTGGCATTGTCAACAATGCAAAAAATAAAAATCCTAACGGTTTTAACGAAGTAAGCTACCACCCGGCAGAGAAGAGCGCGAATCCAACAGTTCTGCCACTCGGTTCGTGACCCAGGGTAAGTTTCTAAACCTCATTGCATCTCACTTCCCTCATCTGTTAAAAATAAAATGGAATGAAAATGTTTGCACCCATAAAGTGGCGGTTAAGACTGTAACAGTTAATGGCGTACATCGCTCGGAACAAGCGCTCAGACGTGTTGGTTACTAACTCCACCGTTCAAAGAGCTGGGTAATTACTGAACTGGGGAAACCTCCGAATTTAAGGCGCAACATCCGCGAGGGATTCAAACAATCACCTCCCACATCCCACTGCAGCTGCGAAACAGTTTTGAAGTAAAAAATACAAACAAAAACACGAAGCCTCCCGCACGCCCAACAGGCGCCACGAACTGGCGGGGTCCCGGGCGCGGGAGGCGACCCTGCGCGCCGCAGGGCGCTCGGAGGACCCCGGCCGCGGCCTGTAGGGGTCCTGGGGTCCGCAGGCCGGCCGGGCGGGGCGGCCCTACCCCGTAACAATTCCCTCTCCGCCCGCCGCCGCGACCCCGGGCTTCGCGGGCCGCGCCCGCCCCGCAACTCCCGCTCTGAACTCCGGGCCGCAAGCCCCCCGACTCCAGCACCTCAGCCCGCCATTCAGCAGCGCGCGTCTGGCCCTCACCAGATCGATGTGGGAGAAGCCGGTGAGCACGAGGTTCTTCAGGAGTTCACAGCCGATGCCACCCGCGCCCACTACCAGCACCCGGCCCCCGGCCACGGCCTCGGCTAGCTCCCGGGGCAGCCCCCGTGACAGAGCCATGGCGGGACTTCCACGAGCGGCGGCGGAGGCGGAGGCGGGAGAACTGAGCCGCGGGCGGAAGCGGGTGG